AATTGATGGTCGTATGATCCCAGTATTCATGGCCTTTAGATCAAAGATTTCATAATCTCTAATGTTTCTTGCCCTGTCATTGGCAATGGCAATAATGTCATTATCTGCCATGACAACTTCTGCCTCTTCTTCGTCTAGCTGTAATTCTTCCAACTCTGGTACATCAGCTAGAATGAAAGGAGGATGGCTCACTGGAAAATGTCTAGTAATTTGAAATCTCCTTAGCACTCTGAGAGTTCTTTGGTTCAGGATCTCCTCTGTAGATTGGGTGAAACAACCTACACATATAACAACTAAGCCTTTGTCGTGACACCAGAGTACAGGAAATGTTAAAGGATCAAATGCTTAAATAATAAAAAATATATAATAATAAATACAAAATTAAAAGTCTAACTTGGCACTCCCCGACAACGATGCAAAAACTTGTTGCTTGTAAATGTGTCACATGCAAGTAGACATGTATGTTTAAAAGTAGCAAGTGATAAAACGTAAGGATATCATACCCATAGGGAGTGAATGTTACTTAGGTTTATTTTTTAATAAACTATCTTTTGACTTTAAGCATGAGCAAGGATAAAAATAATATATAAATGTCACAAGTTTAGTTTTTTTTCTTCTTTAGAACATATGTAAACAGTGCAAGGTGAAAGTGAAGTGATATCAAAAGAGCGTATGTTGAGCTAAGTTCCATTAATGTTAATGAAGTAACTATATTTTCAAGATGTGCAGTGTCATGCCATGAAAGTTCAGAGTGATCTAGAGGTGTATTTCCATAACAATAAAGCATATATTATCAGGGCAAGGGAACAAATCTCTAAGTCACACTTATAACCCTAAAATGTGTTTGTGTGTATTCTGAAGTCCCTTATAGTTATATTTCCTTATCTCTAAGTGAACTAATCAAGTGAATATCTCTATCCTACTCTTTTCAACTATTTTTATTATGAAATCCATTTGTTGTTGGATCACTTACAATAACAAGTTGTTATCTTTTTCTATGTTGATCATTCAAAGAACCAAATTTATAAGCAAGTTAACACATAATAAAACAAGGTACTAAATAGAACATTACTTAACATAGAAACAATATAACATAAATATCTCATTGCTTAACATACAAAAGGTTTATCTCATGATGAGTTGAGTATAAACTACATACAAGGTTCTCAAAATATTCATTCTCAAACAAAAACTGGAAAAAAAATGTAAACCTAAGAGTAATGTGAAGACTTCTTGAGATGGATAATCAACAAGAGATGATTCTAGTCGCGTCAGGGCTTAGTAGTTGGTACAGAAAATGCTGAGAAGAAGAAATCTCTTTTCTCTCCATTACCTCACACTATTATATTATGTCTTGTGATTTGGAATATTGTTGAAATCACCTCAAGCCCACTAACAGAATCAACGCTTTCTCAATATTCTTTCTGCTTAGCCTCCAAAAAATCAGGTACAAGGGAACAATTGTGGGAGACAAAGTGTCTTATGACAGGCTGCTATAGTAGGGTGCAAGCGGCGTTGTCCTTTCTTGCAGAACACGCAGAATAATGGTTGTACTATTGTACTATCTTTGTCTTCTAGCGCCTTTTTAGTTTTATCCATTTAATTCAAATGAATTTCCTTCAGTACAAAACAAAGTTTCCCTCCAATATGTCATTCCTTCCAAGATTCCCCTAGGAACTCAACTGTTTTCTCCATTTCTTTGGCAAAGTCCATCTTCCTGCTTCATCTTTCACTCCTAGGTGTTGTCCACTACAATATTGCCTTAGTGTGTTAGAGCTAACCTTAAATCAAGCAACAAAAACATTAAATTAACAAAGGGGAGTACCTATTATGCTCCAAGCTAATTGCTATAAAACAGCTAAAATGAACTATAAGTAACCATTAAAAAGGTAATAAAACTAACAATATGAAGGAACTAAGGTATATAATAACTCACTGAATGTGGGTCATCAACATTTTTATGTAATTATTTAATTAGTTTATCTAAATTCATATGTATATGATAGATTTTATCTGTTTTATATGTTGATGCAATCATGGATCTATCACCATTTTTTAGATATTAGTGGATGGGTGTTAGAGACCAAAAGTTTGAGGAGATAGAATCCCACACAAATGCATTCATTATGAGGGAGGTAAAACTATATAATCATATAGAAAGTGACTTGATCACATAGTATCAAATGGTATAGTGTTCGATATATACACCCATCCTCAAGTCAAAAGCCCGTTGGACGACACATGTTTCTTTTCTAATTAGAATTTAGATCATATGTAAATCCTCCAAGGAATGTTGTTAGTTTGAGCGATTATTGTGTCAGCTCGTAACCTTTACTTATTACCAACTCATCCTAGATTAATCATAAATATGTTGAGTAACTGGATTATGTTTTGTCCCTTGAGGACCAAGTCGTACAAATCATTCATAGTTTGAGAGACTGTACAGGGATACGTGATGTAGTATTTACAATTATTACTTTTATAATTAATTCTCACACTTGAAGGAAAATCTCCTAACCAGATGAGAAGAAAGCCCTTATAGAGGAGTATGCCAATAAGGTTAGTCTAGTCCATTCATGTACACTTATTTGAGACATGATTGTCCGGCTATTCTTTCGTAGGAATGTATTTAAGGGCTCAGATATCAACGTGATATTTTGGCGGGGTCCTCAAGGAAGCCAATGTTATAATCTTGACGAAGAGGATGAAGATGAAGGTCATTAATCCCGATGCGACCCAATAAATGCATTTTTTAAGGTCATTTTGTTTCACTTGGTTTTGGTTGGACTTTGTGTACAATAAATAATATTATGTATTCATCGTCACATGTTATATTATGTATTATTTTTATTTTTTGAAGTTTTTTCGAGCTCATTATTTATGTTGGTGTATTTTATGGGTGTTTTATCAAATAAATGAAATTGTATAATCTTAGCTCATGTAGAGGGTTTTTTGGGCATAATCTGAATTGTAGAACTTATATCCATTTGTATTTAGTGAACTAAAATGCACAAAAACTTGTATAAAATAATGTGTTTGATTTATTTGCAGTTCACATGTAAAAAAAACAATGAACTTTGTTATCCATACTTAATTAGAATGAATTATGACTTAGATGTAGTTTACAATAAGGGAATTCCTCCTCATTTGTTCAAGATCATTATCGATGTTACATTTTTTTATATGAAACATCAATTTGACAAAATAAATATTTGTTTCAATCAGAGCAACACAATAAAGTGGTTAGTATTGAGTATCAATTGTCTATCATCAACGATTTGTTTCACCAACGTACAACTACAAAATAACAGTAAAGTGATATTTGATAAGTATTGTTTTTTGAGACCCTACGAATTAAATGTTATCCTAATCAAATTTGTTGATGTTTTCTGTTTAAACACGACTCATCATGTGATTTTTGATGAAACAACGTCATGATATTTGACCCCGAAAATGAAATACTATAATTTGTATAATCTTTAATATTGTTTGTATTTAATAATATTTTTATCTATTCATAATTTATTGGTGTTTGATATGTAACGTTATTGAATTTCATCTAGTTTAAAATTTTACTAGTTTTTAGGGTTTCGAAAAGGTTCAGGAGTGGAAAACGAATTAATCCAATCACATTGCATCGGTAACCCGGGCAGGTACTAAAACACTACAAAATTCATACATTAGTTTTAAATTTGACCAATTTGCAAATACCCGTAACATAGTAGACAGTATGTTTGGTACCAATTAGTAGAATTGTTTATGATATATTTTTGAAAGAAAAAAAAAACAAAACAAATCAAATTAAATTATAATAAAAATTTACTCGAATTAAACCAAACTATTTTAATTTACTCACTCGAACTAAACGAGACATTCATAACTGAATTGAACAATAAACTTAATTTACTCCCTCAAACTAAACCGAACTATTACAATTTACTTATAACAGAATTGGACAATAGTCATTAACTTAATATACCATTTTAAAATTCCAAATCATATCGAATCATTAGAAATTAAGAAGTTAATTTTTTCTAAACTAAACTATTTATTAAAACCAAACCGTTAAACTATTTTTAAACTTTTAAATAATTAAAACATACTTTTAATAATTAAAATATATTTTTAACATTTTTCATTTTTAATTTCGGTTTGAATAGATTACAATTTCGGTTAAGTTTTTGGTTTTCTTAATGGGACCACATAAGGTCACTGACCCTCTTTCGCATAAATAAAATAAAATATACATAGATAGAAAAATGTCCCTCTAAATCTAAAGTCGGCTACTACTGTCTGCAACCCAGTTTGTGAATTCAGTTTCTTTTGATAATAATCACCCTAACTTTGAGTTGGTTAATTTGAATTCAATTCCTAGCATTATTTATAAGATGAAAATATATTGTCAAATTTTTAAAGATAAAAGTAAATTTGATTTGTCCCGTTAGCAACTAAACTACTAGGGAAAAAATGATTTAGATAATAATATTATCTCAACTAAAGACAATTCTGCTGAAGTTGAGTTTACAGAATCTGAATCACAAAAATAAAACATCAAAAAACATACAGATTTTTATCTAAAAACTGGGTAATACAACACCCAAACATGGGGTTTTGAATTTATTTAGCATGAGTTTGTTTTGTTCCCTTATCAACATTCAAACTCTCTTATTTGTCATATCCATCACTTTCGTTACAAAAGTAAACAAAAGATGCACACAACAAAAGTAAACAAAAGATGCACACAACTTAACATACAGTGCACATAAGTACAAGTAACAACTAACCAAGATACAGAGCGATGACAAAATTGTTGTGCTATTATTCTCTTCTGCAAATACAGAGAGATTATTTGGAGATGCTGTGAACATTAGTTAACATCAATGTCGAATGCAACAATTACCACCAAACCAAAATCATACATGTAAAGACATTTTTATTGCATCTCTTTTCACTTGCGCACAAGTGGAAACAATATGCCTTAGCCATCCATTAATACTATATTAATACACACGAGCTTTAGGAGGGAATGACTCAACCTCATCATCCAATGTATTCAAATGCACCGGCCGGTAATCCAATCGGACCTTCTCATTTTCCCAGAATCTGCAAATTAATACATAAAAGCTTAGCTAACATGTGCAACTTGTAAAAGCATTATATCCTCAATTGAGCGATTGACACATCTAAATCAAAAATCTTGTGTTAGAACCCCTAAACATTAAATAACTTATGGCCCAAAACAGTTGACATTTTTATGTCAAATTAAATCCTTCACGGGTCATGTTGAAATAGTTTGATCCTTTAAGCTATTACTTTAGGAGATGTGTTATGGTGTTAATCATTCTCAGAAAAACATTATTAACTAAAGCTTATAACAGTGTCTTGTAAAAAAAAAACATCTTTATAATAGTAGGCTGCTGACATGTATACCAAGCTTTTTGTGAGAAAAACAAATGAAGTATCTCCCTCTAACCCCAAATGAGAGATCTAAGCTTTTCAGCATCTTTAATATGTTACATATTAGTAATTATCCGAATAAATAACAGTGTGTGCTCAAGTTTTGGTTTCATTGGGCCACTTGAAAATTTGGTAGTGATAATTAGAAAACTGCATTAATACTCGCATCTCTATGAAAATCAAGACTACTCAGTTTCTGAAGAACTTCAAGCAGGGATTAGCTGGACAGAACAAATCACTTCGATTGGGATTTTGATAGAACAATATCTTATGATATCTCGTTTATATCCCAGAGTAATTTAGTGTAACTTAGACTATCTATTGGTTATCATATTTCCATCGTGCTTGGTTGGATGGAAGGAAAGGGAAAGGTGTTAAGGTGTAGAGTGATAAGGAAGTCAATGGTTCAATCTCCACACCTAGGATAATACTAACCATACTAACATTTGTCATTCAAAAAAAGTATATTTATAAAAGGCAAACTTAAAGTAATAACTGTATTATTTGAACATGACTTACCCCAAAGTGTGTTTCATCCACTTCTCATCGTCTCTTGTCTGTAGAATCCAACAAAACAAATTTAATTACCTTGTTTGTTAACATAAACAGTATGAAATTTGCACATTAAGGGGCGAAAAAAATTTACCGTGAAGTCCTCGCGGGCATGAGCTCCTCTACTCTCTTTCCTAGCTTCTGCAGAGTGCATTGTGATGCAGGCATTTATCAAAAGATTTTCCAACTCAATAGTCTCAATCAAGTCGGAGTTCCTGTAAATATATAGATTAAAGCCAATAAACTTTTAAAATTACCATGCAGATTCCTCAAAATATTAGGGATATTCAACATTTATTACGAAGGATTTACCATATTAAAGTCCTATCCTCAACCTTGACATCATGGAAACTCTCCCACGTTTTATCAATTAATTGACAACCTGTTACAAAATTAGCAAAGGTAAACACACACTTAGTAAAAGAAAAAGGAGGTGGTTGCAAAATGAAGCAGTATTGGCAAAAAATAGATTACCTTCTTCTAATGTTTCTTGTGTACGGAATACAGCAGCATTACTTTGCATTACTCGTTGCATATTCAACCGAATTTTTGAAGTAGGTAATGAACCATTTGAATTTCTCAATCTGTCCAACCATGCAATCGTTTTCTGGCCAGCATCCTTCTCTAAAGGCTTTTGTTTCTCTCCTGTAACATAGATAATGTATGCATTTTTATCACACTAATTTCAGTGGGAAGTCCATTTTAATTTCAATAACCGGAAAAGAAGCTTGCCTGGCCTATTAATTTCGGCAACTCTATTTGCACAAGCTCTACCAAAAACAACAATATCCAAAAGTGAATTTGCACCAAGCCTGTTGGCTCCATGAACTGATGCACAGGCTGCTTCTCCAGCAGCCATCAATCCTGGAACTAATGCATCTGGATCGTCGCCTTTAATGGTAACCACCTGCATATCAAAGCACATTAGTTCAAGTCTCTTTTTTGTTCTTCCCAATGAAAAAATATATACATAAAGAACAAGATTGCAATTTCTGTGTTTATTGAAAACATTGTAGGATACAGCTTCCCACCCACAAATCCAAAAAACTACTCGAACTTGCTATTTGTAGTGTGATGGTTACAGAGAACACCCATTGTCAGTGATGATATAAATTTGGGGCAGTAACTGACACTACCACCAACTTATATTTGCTTACTGATATGAGATAACTCTTTTCTAGTTAAAATCTAAAATGTGCCCAGGTATTTTGTTTATAGAATGATATTAGATGACCGTTTAAACAAATTCAATCTAGTTTAGCTCCATATTATTCATATAATGATGATTATTAAAACTTTGGCTCGAAAACAAAGTCAAAAACTTACTACATGCTCTTGCAAGCATATTATTCATGTCAGAAGTGTGCGGAGTGCAAATATAGATGAGTGAAAAGTAAGCATAGAACATCAATTCATCAAGTGATCAACAGCAGTGGAAGTTTAGGTATATGAAACTTGATACCTCTCCATGATGATTTGTGGGAATGCCACCCATGTTATAATGCACGGTTGGCAAAACAGGAATGGGTTCCTTTGTAACATCCACGCCAGCAAAAATGGCAGCAGTTTCAGAGATACCGGGAAGTCTCTCCTTGAGCACGTCTGGGGGTAGATGATTCAAGTGTAGATAGATGTGATCTTTCAGGGGTCCTGCAAATGATTTCCACTTAATAACAGCTTATATAAAACAAAATAAAGAACAGCAAAACAGTATTTTATTTATTTACTTCCACAATGTGGTCTCTTCAAGATTGGAAAATACATTCATTTATAGGAAATTCCAAAATCTCTAGAAAAGAAAACCCAGGCAACCATTAATCAATGTTGCTACAATTACCAACAATCAGTGGCGTCCTGACTTCTTTTCCAAAACTTTTTATAAATACATTGGAGATCAATGAAAAGCTAGCTTACCTACACCACGACCTTCCCGGATCTCCATAGTCATCGATCGTGAAACAACATCTCTGGAAGCAAGATCCTTTGCTGTGGGAGCATATCGTTCCATAAACCGCTCTCCCTCACTATTCCTAAGAATTCCACCTTCGCCGCGAGAGCCTATAAGTCCAAAATAGAGATGGAAAACATTATATTTAATTTAACTGGACTAAGTGCTTTGTGAGGTGCAACCAGAGGCAAGCCCAGATTTAAAAAGAAAACATAACTACCAACCTTCTGTTATAAGGCAACCTGCTCCATATATACCCGTTGGGTGAAATTGCACAAACTCTAAATCCTACATAATAAAAGATAAAAGTGTGTAAATATAAAAGACCCGCTCCATAGGACATCATCTTATTATTTTTAAAAACACCAAATATTGTATAATAGAAAACCTCAAGCCCGATCCCAGCGCGTGCAGCCATGGCATTGCCATCTCCAGTGCATGTATGTGCTGAGGTTGCTGAGAAGTACGCCCTACCATAACCCTGATGCAGAATAAAATATCTCACTGTTCCATAACAAGCAAGTGCAACAAAAACTTCAATGACAATCAACCACAGAAAAATCATGTTACCCCTGTGGCCAAAATTGTAGAAGCAGCTTGGAAACGATGTAGCGTCCCATCCTCCATATTTAAGGCAATCACTCCTTGGCAAGTACCTACATATCCAATATGAAAATTAGTTAACATAATCATTATCTATGGAACAAATAAATATATTTTTCCTCCCGTTCACCAATGTAACATGGTTGATAAAGCAATTGGTATATAAAACATAATTTATTTATAATCTGTAGAGAACAAATAATTCAATTTATATGAAGAATCTGCTTATTAATGAATGCCAATGAAAGCTGAGACCTTGGTTAGAGTAATTTATAGCAAATTAAGTGAAGCAGGCTGTTTTCTGCAACAACTTACCATCACTATTCATTAAAAGATCCAAAGCAAAATATTCCACAAAAAATTGTGTATTGTGCCTCATAGCCTGGCCATAGAGAGTGTGTAATAAAGCATGCCCAGTTCGATCAGCAGCACATGCACAACGGTAAGCTTGACCACCTGCATTTTAGCCATACATAGAAGCTCAGATCAGACCTCTTCTCAAAAGAAAAACCAGACAACTCTGCTCCAAAACCTGGATATACCTTTTCCAAAGTTTAAGCTTTGGCCACCAAATGCACGCTGATATATTCTTCCATCCTCTGTTCGAGAAAAAGGCAATCCGTAATTCTCTAGTTCAATAACCGCTTTTGGCGCTTCCCTACACATATATTGAATGGCATCCTGATCTCCTGTAGATTATAGAGCTAACATTGAAAACATGAAAGATAAAAACATTCCAAAAGAAGAATCTCAGTTCATATGCACTCAGCTGCTCAAGGCTAAGCACCTAAGGATTTTTTTTCCTGAAAATTGCTAAAGCATCATTTCAAATAGAAAATTAACGTTTCTTTTTTTTTTTGTTTAGGTAAACAACCACGGGGCATATCTTGCTCATTGGAGGTAATTAATTATAAAGGAAAACAGATCTCTACATGTAAGGATATTTGCGGCAATGAACACTTTACTTACAATTTATTAATATTGTAGGATATATAATATAATGAAAAATAATTCAAATATTGACTGAGCTTATACCTAGCCAATCACTTCCTTTTACAGTGTCATACATGTGCCACCTCCAATCATCTTCAGTCATATTTCCCAATGCTGCATTTATGCCACCCTATACAGAGATTGTATTCCCATGAGTGAGCATTTCCAGCATATTCAGGAAAAGAAGAAAGTTTTACTCTGAACGTCCACTAGTGCGTTTTATTTCACAACCAACTATATATTTGAGGAGACAAAAACTAGAGTCTATAGGAGAATATCTAACTTAAAATTTTTTCCAAAACATAAAGTCGACAAAGAGCTGATTAAATCCTTATATTTCATAAAAAAAAAAAAAGATATCATGTCTTCCCAAGTTTAAAATATTGCATTTTCATGTGTCACAAGGTAACAATGGAATGTCAAACAATGATGAGTTATGCGGAAAAGTCAAACCTTAGATGGTGTCAAGTGAAGCCAAATTAGTATTGATGGGAAATTTGAGACCCAACTTTATTCACCCCGTGTTTCTTAAAAACTGTACTTGATTCGGGAAATACACTTCCAGACAGAAGGGGGGAAAATTGTTCGTCAGATATACACATCCAGACGGGAAAAAACTGTTTTTCTAGATGTGAACTCCCAAAGTTCTTGGGGGAGTGGGAAATAAATGTTTTTTCTAGATGTGTATAGTTCCAAAATTCTCGGGGAGTGGAAAAAGTCAGGCTCGATATTTTCATCAACAAGCCTACTATGGTAATTACAATAGCCAAATCCTTTTCCCATTAAATGGGATCATTGTGTACACAGTCACCTACCACAACAGAACAAAAGATTACTACATATTATAAACTTGGTCGCCTACTACAACAGAACAAAAGACTAATATAGATTATAAACTTCAAAACAAAACCGAGGGTTTCTCCAAGTTCCAAAGCATAAAAATTTACCACACCTCAACCCGATAATTTCTTTCTACACAGTCCACAGTCATACTAACAATATCACAGCATAACAACCAAAAGACACAACTAATAGAATCCATAACAAATACCCATATTTAAAAATCACCAATGCAATAAAAAGCTCTCCCTATACACATGCACAACAAACAACCCAAACAAGTGTTAGTAAGACTACAAAATCTCATATACCTGAGCTGCAACAGTGTGTGAACGAGTTGGGAAAAGCTTAGTAATACAAGCAGTATTGAATCCATGTTCTGAAAGTCCAATAGCAGCTTTCAAACCGGCACCACCAGCACCCACCACAACTGCATCGTAAGTATGATCTACAACAGTGTAAGACGAGTTTACACCACTCTACACAACAGCAACAGCAAACAAAAAAAACGATTCAGCATCAGTAAAAAAAAAAACTCAACCCTAAAAACCAGGAAAAAAATCAAATTCACAAACACTAGTAAGTAAATAAATAACTGCAAAATTCAAACTCTGAATTCAACGAATCGGAATCAAGTAACATATAATGATCCAACAAATTGGCAATCGTATAAGATAATAATCGAAGGAAATGGAGGTAAGTGGAGAAACATACAGAGAAGAATCTAGAAAAGTGAGATCCGAGAGAGTTATTGGATCTGTTAGATTGTGGAACGCGAAGTCCACGAGCGACGCAGCGCCACATTTCTGCACGAAAGAGTGTTGTATCTCAGCGTTTTGATTTTGGGGATTTCGAGCTTCTCTGTGAGCGTGGCTTGTTTTGCTCTGTCTTCAATGTATTTATATTGTCGTCGGTTTTTGTTTATTGTTATGAAGGTGGTTTGACGAAGTGGAAGGAAACGATGGTTTAATTCGAAACACGTCACTCGGGGGTTCGTAGGGGAGGTAAGAGCATATTTTTTTGGCTTTGATTAATGGTAATAAATAAATAGTGTTGTTATTTAACACCTAAAAATCGACATCGGATTTAAACAATATAGTATAAAAATACACTTCGTTAAATGATGATTTACTTGTATAAAAATACACTATTTGTTAAATGATGATTCCCATAATTTTAGGACCGAGATCCCTCTTTGAGAATTAGAGAAGAAGGAATTGAGATTGATTAATTTCATTGATAATGTGTACAAAGAAATTACATACGGTTGTTAGGGAATTTAATAAATTACTAATAGATTCAACAATTTAAGGGATTATTTGGTGGGATGCGATAACAGACTCGTGTCTTACGATTTTCTTAAAACTTTACTAAAATTTCACTTGTAAACGACAAAGTTTTTCAGCTTCGCTGAAGACACGAGGTTCCTTTTAGGCCTCGATTCTTTTGGGTGTGGGTCACTTGGGTCGTCCACTTGAATTGTATAGTCTATGTCTACACCAAGGGTGCATATAACTTTGCCATGTCCATCAAAATTCAGCATTGTTCTCAAAGTTGTAAAGAGAAAAGAGTGTGCTTCAATCTTCCTACGAGGTTTCATCTAGAGACAACCCTTGCCATGTTACTAGGACTATAATGGCGGACTTGTTGGCTTCAGTCACAATTTTGACATCTAAAATGGTAAGTGGTTTAACAACAGGGTGATTATCCATTGACTCTGGTTGTAATGCATCTTTTGCAATAGGAGTAGGCTCGTGACGGAGCTTCAAAACTTAATAGTGGAAAATATTGTGAATTTTTTTAATTTGAAGGGGGCTCTAACATGTAGGCAACTGGTCCCACACGAGCTGCAATCTGAAACAGGCCATAGAATCGTTTAACGAGCCTGTTGTATTTCATGGCAGATACTGAAACTTGTTTGTACGGTTGTAAATTCACGTAGGCCCAATATCCTACTTCAAAAACCACATTGTTACACTTCGCATTTGTGTTAGCCTTCACGCGAGCATGTTCCCTAGGTGGATTCTTACGAAGCAATGCTAAAATCTCTTGTTTGGAAGTTAACACGGTGTCAAACGCATCCACCGATGAAGTTCCCTCAAGGTAGGAAGGAAGAAATGGTGGTGATTTCCCATACATTACTTGATACAGAGTAATGGCATAAGAAGTAAGGTAGGATGTATTATAGTGATACTCGACCAAGGAAGATATCGAAACCAGTTGGAAGGTTTAGCGTGAACAAAGGCTCTGAGATGTTACTCAATGGTTCTGTTTGTGACTTGAGTTTGAACTCCAGTTTACGGGTGGTAGGAAGAGCTCATTCAAAGCAATGTGTCGCTAAACTTAAAAAGATCTAACAAAAAACGGCTAACGAATTGAGGTTCACTGGCGAAGCCTATGCTTTTGGGCAACCCATGTAGCTTACATACCATATTAACGAATAAGTTAGCTACTTTGTAAGTTGTGTACTAAGAAGGAAGAGCTCTCAAGTGAATAGCCTTGGAAAATCGGTCACAAGCACGATAAAGTAGCCACTTAAAACGGGAAGGTCGATAATATAATCCAGAGTGATGTCTTCCCATATATTGGAAGGTATTGGAAGTGGTTGTAGAAGGCCTCATAGTTTAGTCGTAATGTACTTCGTCTGCTGACAGATAACACACTATTTGATGTAATTTTGAGCGTCTTTCTACATACTAGGCTAGAAAAAATTGTAGTTAAACATTTCAGTGTTTTAACAACACCTGTGTGACCTCCTATATATGTGTCATGGAATTCCATAAGCAATAAAGCAATAAATCTTGAGGGATTAAATATCCAATCTTTCCATGATGGAAAATTAATCTATCGAATAATGTGAATCATAGAAATTTAGTAGGGGAAGCTACAAACTGGGCCTTGAATTCTTGGTAGGGGTGGCAAAACAGGCCCACCGCCCCGTCCCGCCCCACCCTACCTTAAGCCCGCCAAAAAAAGGCAGAGTGGGCAAGCCCGTCAAGTGGAAATGGGCATAAAAATCTAACTCACCTCGCCAAGGTGGCGGGCGACGGGCTTGCCGACCTACTTTTTTATTTTATTTTTCATCTTTTTAATAGATTAATAGGCTTGTTTTTACATTTCAATTAGATGTTTCACTTATTTTTTAGAATAATTTTTATAAAGTATCTTTTTAACAAATTTTACTTCAAAAAATATTGCATATAATTTTAAATAAATGTATAAAATAAAACCATCAAGAATTGGAATTACTATGATTAACAAAAAAATGGTGGGTTTAAGGTGGGACAAGTTAAACGAGTAAGTGCGGCGGTCTTTCGCGGGCAGCGGGTTTTTGCGGGGCGGGCTTTGGGGGTGGCGGTCTTTAGCAAGACAGGCTTTGGTGGGCAGCGGGCCCAAAATCCCAACCCAACCCGCCATTTTTTGGCGGGTGCGCGGGCCGGTTCGGCGGGCCACGACCCGTTTTGCCACCCCTAATTCTTGGTACTTTATTTTAGAATTTGGGTCTTGCTTTAGTTCATCTATGAAAATGAAGTGGGGAATAAACAAGACTTGTAATTGTTCCTCGTGTCCTTCAAATGCGTATGAGGGTATGTATGCGACAATGTTTGTTTTACCAGGTTATTACACTGGATTTTTGGACTTAACTATAAATGGAAAGTATTTGATGAGACTAGCCATAAATGTGACACGTGGAAAATAAAATAGAATGGGTCAAACACGATCAAAATAACTCGAGGTCGGGAATCACGTAAGGGGATGCTGGTCGAAGGTGGCGTAGTCAAAAGACACGGTGAGAAGCATGAGGACTTAGTGAAATTGAGTACTATGCTATGTTATCCACTTATTGAAATTGAATATTATCTCATGTTGTCTATGTTAGAACAAGATTTGATTCTGCATCTGTATCTCTAAGTTTTGATGATAACAAGTTAGTATTTGTGTGAGAATAATTTTAATACCCTAATGGTTTATTATTGTGTATCTTTAGAAAACAACTTTGTTTTCGACTCTTGAACATGGAACATAACAAGTTTCTGAATATATTGATCTAAATTGCTTCTGCTCAAACTCACGGATGAGAAGCTTTTAAGGAAACTGTATGCTATTGCTGCAACGTTCTTTTGGCTCTTACTTCTGTCGTATGACTCTGATCAATTCACTTCTGAAGACTGCTCAAGCTTCAGGAGATTAAAAGCTGGAGGTTCTACAAACTCTGAAGAATCTCAAGTTAGATATTGATGTGATCAAGCTTCTGATTGATGATTGAAGTTTCTGAACTCAAGCTTCCGAAGATTAAAAGCTAAAGGTTCTAAAAACTCTGAAGAATCTCAAGACAGATATTGATGTGATCAAGCTTCTGATTGATGATTGAAGTTTCTGAACTCAAGCTTTCGAAGATTAAAAGCCGAAGGTTCTAAAAACTCTAAATAATCTCAAGTCAGATATTGATGTGATTAAGCTTCTGATTGATAATTGAAGTTTCTGAACTTAAGCTTCCGAAGATTAAAAGTTGAAGGTTCTAAAAACTCTGAAGAATCTCAAGTTAGATATTGATGTGATCAAGCTTCTGATTGATGATTGAAGTTTCTGAACTCAAGAAAAATCAACTCTTCTAACTCATGCTTCAAACAACGTTTTATCTAGAAGCCACTGAAGAATAGAAGATAAGGACGAGTTTATACGTGGGAAAAATAGTACATGGTACAAACCAATATTCCTTCTACTAAGCGGATTTCGTAGATTAAGGAAATTGAGGTAGTACGATTCTTGTCCCCTCCGTATTAAACTGTTACTCAAGTCGTCAGCTCATTCATGAAGAATACCAGATCTGCCCTCTAACAGATCTTTTTTATTGGCTATATAAAGACTTGAAGACTTGAAGAAATATATACAAGACTGTTGTCATAACTTGTGCTGAAATTTTTCTTCAAGTGTATTGTGTTTTTAACTTATTTATACTTGCTTATATGGAAACAATATTTGTAAACACAACCTTGTAATCAAACAGTTGTTTGTATTTCCTTAAGGGATCAGTTAGATCAGAATCCTTGAGAAGACATAGACAATGCGTCTTTGTGGTTTGTTAGTCACCCACGGTTGCTAGCGCAGTTGTAATCAGTTGATTATAGTGGATTAAGTCCTTGGGTATAAGGCAAAATTACCTTGGCGGGTGGGTTGGATTAACTTTGAGATTTTCAAGTGAACCAGTATAAAAATAAAAGCGTATTTCTCTTTGTTATTGAATAAACATGGTTTTTATTGAGTGAGTAAAAAGCTTTTATTTTTGAAAACCCCAATCCAAACCCCTTTTCTTGTATTTTTCTCACCTTCAATTGACATCGGAGCTCTGGTTCTGATTGTGATAAAAGTTTACCAAACACTTAACCGTGTTCAGTACCGATCTAGTGTGTGTGAGAAACAATGGAGGTTGTTGCTATTCTAGTAGAGAAAGATCATTACAGTGCCAAACCACCAGTATTTGATGGTGAGAAGTTTGACTATTGGAAAGATAGAATCTAAATTTTCTTTCTTGGCTATGATGTAGATCTTTGGGATCTTGTTGTTGATGGCTACAATCATCCTGTCAATGATGCAGGAGAAAAAGTGTCAAGAAGTGCTATGACTGATCAACAACAGAAAGATTATAAGAATCATCATAAGGAGAGAACTGTACTGCTAAATGTTATATCTTATACTGAGTATGAGAAGATAACAAATAGAGACACTACCAAGTCCATTTTTGATTCTTTAAGAATGATTCATGAAGGAAACACTCAAGTTAAGGAGACGAAGGCGCTTGATTT